GTAATTTATATTGTAAAATTGTTTGAGGAGGTAAATATAGAATGGTAACGAAATCACTGTTCATATGAAACTTACATTCTAATGATAAGCAAGAAACAAATGAATATGTCAGATAATAATGCAAAGAGGAGAAAGAAAAGCAACACAAGGGAAAAAATAGCATGACACTGAGTGTGCACAGAATCAGAGATGGAGTCAGTGAGTGCTCGTATGGAATCAGTGAGCGTGCTTAGGGAGTCAGTGTGATGAGTGAGTCAGTGTGCTTATGGAATCAGGACAGGCATCTCTGGGGAGATTAGATCTGACCATAGACTTAGGGTGAAAGTCACAAATATTATATACCTAGAAATGTAATTAAATTCTCCTTAAAATAGCATTATATTTTCAATTTATTCTTGGATAAAAATTTTATTTTTGCTCTCTCTTGCTGAAAAAGTGATTTTATTAGTAATGATTTGGAGACATTAAGTGGTAAAATATGTTTTTCATACATTTCAGAAATAGGTGCATATATCATACTCTAGATAGAGATATAACAAAAAACATATAGTAGAGAAGCAGATAATTTTAAGAATTTCTCAGAAAGTTACATCTGGTCCTGTACAAAGACAATGTTCTTCTAGAGTGAAGAGTCTAAAATAAACCACTGCTCAAGGACAAATAGCTCCCAAAGATGAATTTTACCTGTGAGCAGCTCAGCTTTACCCATACTTCTACTGCAACACCTTTTGTGTCACATTGTTTTAGTTCATAAACAGTGTCAGCTACTAAACTATGAGGTATAAAACTCAAGAGCAAGGAAACTCTCTTGCTATAGTTCTAGTGCCTTCAAGTCTGAAACTCAGCAATTTAAAAGCATTCAGTAGCAACTTACTGAATAAATGAGCGCTTGAGTGGGTAAATGAAGGAATGAAATAATTGAGTAATGGACTCACATGCTTCTCAACACAACATCTTGCCTGCTCCTGTAGATGTAGAAAGTATCTTTTTGGGGCACTGCATTCCAAAGAGAAGTGGTTCTTTTCTCAGCTACACTTTGCTGCAAGTAGCAATAACTACCATAGAAAAAACTTTCTACTATCAATGAGCAGTAATCTTTTCTACAAAAAATGTCCCATTTTAAAAAGATGATTTAAAAAGATGATTTCAATTTTTTAAATAAAGCTATTTTTAGGGGGGTTTTTTAGTACCAGGTATTGAACTCAGGACCTTGTACTTGGGAGGCAGGCAGTGGCACCACTGAGCTAAATCCCTGGCCCTAAAGGCATATTAAAATGTTAGTTTTAAGCACTGTGGTACCCACTGATGTATCCTATTCATACAACATTGATTGCTTATTTATATGTTTATATTTAAAATCAAATTAACTTTTGCTTTTGTTACTATGTGTATTCCTCGTTAATTTTTTAAATATCCATGGCAAGTGAAGGTAGCTTTCCTTGATCACAAGTATCTTTTGAATAAACTGTTATGCCTGCTAGTGATCTCCAACCTACAGGAGAGACACTACTCACTGTTTACTCAATGACAGCCACAAACAAATAAATGAAAGCAGTCTAAGTTACAGAAACTCATAAATATATGAAGTGAAGAGAACAATTTCTCAGGCTGTTTCAGGGATTTACAGTGTGGAAAATAGACTATACAACATTAGATAATTCAACCATTTTTGTTTTCTATCGTTAAAGAAATAAAATTTAATTTTATACAAACTGCATCAAAGTGGGAAGAGCCTTATGAAATCTTTAAAACATACCATATTCCATGCACCATTATTAATAACAGCACCTCCAGTTGTGATCTGAGTTGTAAATTCATTCTTAAGCTGAATTTCAAGCTTTCCTTCACGAAGAGCAATCAGAAGCCAAGCTGAGTGGTCAAGAGATTCTGCACACAATATAACACCTTCTGAATCATATGTCCGGAAATCAAACTTAGCTGAAAATCTAAGCATGAACAAAGACATATCCTTAATAGTAGAAATATGGACGTCTCAATGTATTATCCTTTTATATTTCACTAGAAAACAGTAATATACTGAAAAGAGTCAACTTTATTTTGTTGCTTGGAATTAATAAAAATGAAAGAGTTGAAGTAAATTGTTTATATATTATATTTTGGTCTCCACACATTTAAAATCCAGTTCTTTAAAATTTATTCTTGGAATTTTTATTTCAATAAACAGATGCTTCGGTAATTTTTCATCTTTTTGGTATGTATTTTGAAGGAATCTCTCAAATGCTAGAATTAATATACATGTATAAATATTAGACATACTGCATCTCTCCTGGGACCTTTTATATACCATAAAACTTGAAATTAAAATGTGTATTGGGGTGCTGTATTCATAAGAGATTAGTAAAAGATTTTACATGGTTGATTTATCTAGCAAAAGTCATATTTTCCCCATGACTTCACATAGGAAGGGATCACTCAAAAGCTCTATAGGATAGCATCTGGACAACTGCACACATAATTAAGCCTTCATGTGTGCTAAGGATGATAAAATCAAAAACTTCAGGCAGTAGCTACTGAAGAACAGCAGCTATGCCTCTCTACTACCCTGTGGCCATGGCCTCAACAAGGGTCGTGCACTAACCAAGGACATGAGCCAGCCAAGGCACAGCCACAGATGCCTCATCAAGCACACACAGTTCCTGTGGGGACCATCCCAGAGGTGTAACTTCATCAAGAAAAGGATGGGAACACACTTTCCTACCAAAATGAAGTCAGAGCAGCCGAGCAACGCTGCCTGCCTGCTGTCTTGGCCAACATGAAGAAGGTGGCTGCCTAGACAGCTTGAACCCTTCTCCCCTCAGTGAGTAATAAAGCCTTTACAGAAAAAGAAAACAAAGCAAAACAAAACCACTTTAAAATGCATCCATTAGATTTATTTCAGAGGTTCTTCAAAAACTCTAATTGCATAAATCCTGCAGTAGAATACATGGAAGAAAAGCTGAACAAATATTGTGTAGCCATGTGTTGGGGGCAGGGGTATCTGAGTTCTGACAATGCCTGTTGTTATTAAGACTCTAGAAATATATACAGTGTAGACAAATACAGATAAATATGTAGACAAATTGGACAAATTTATAGTTACAGACAATTAATAGATGCAGACAAATTTACAGATAAATATATAGATAGTATAGAAAAAAATCTTAAGTGATACTGGATTGAAAATGTGTTGACTGAGTGCTCTTAGAACACCTAGGTGGGAATCAGCATTAAAATCTCCAGCAGACCAGCTAATCAAAATGATTTTAAAAAGACAAACAGGGGAAAAAACAGTTGCATAACTTTCAGTTATCTAAGTTAAAATAAAGGTAATTTAAAGTAAAAAGTAAGGATTTTTGATAATTCTAAGAAGCAATTCCACATCATTATCCCTACATATAACAGTAATGATAATAGGCGCCTCATTTGCAAGAGGGGTACAGATCTTGCTCAAAGGGAATAAAGAAAATGTAGAATAAGCTTCCCATCTTTAGAATTCCAAGTAAATATGTGAAAGCAGTACAATGTGGAGTAAAGTATGTTGGATGGATATCAATGTAGTAAGAAATTCCAGACTTCAATTCATATTTTAAAAGAATCATCTTGCTTAGAATGGGGACTTCCATCCCCTTTCATCATTATCTGAGCATTCTGCTAATGTGAAACATGGATTATCTTGCCAAGATCCATATCTGTGCATGTCAAGATCTTCCAGAAGTTGATCCTATTATGGAGAAAATTTCCTTTTCTTTGTAAAATCATGCTAAAATTGTATTTCAAAGAGTTGTTTTCCACATATTTTGTTCCTGGAATATATCATCAGCATAATGATTCTTCCACTCTATTTCAGAAGTATTACAGAATGGAAAAAAGAGTGAACTTGTTAACATTTGCGTAAGTAAAGTATTTGACTATGGGAAACAGAGGTGAAAGAATTTGCTTCAGTAAAACACTAGCTATTTTTGTGTTGGCTATACGGATGGCAATTTACAAAATTCATCAAAGTAAGCTCCCCTGCCACCATCCCACACTCCTAGGGCAGAGAAGCAAAGCCGGTCCCAGCACCCAGAAGGAAGCTCTCCCGCCGCCACACCACGTTCCTGGGGCAGAGAAGCGGAGCTGGTCCCAGCACCCAGAAGGAAGCTCCCCTGCCGCCATCCCAAGCTTCTAGGGCAGAGAAGGTGAGACATACGGGTGCCAGAAACAACCCCCCACCCACCCGTGGAAATGAGAAGACATGTAAACAAGCCTCAAAAACAGA